GGTTGTGCATGTTGTTCAGCACAGTCACACACGGAAGATTCTCTACAAGTGAGTCAGTATCTCTCAAATGAGCAGATTTCCTCTTAATTATGAGGACTAAAAAGCATCATTGCATGACTGGCCAAGGGACGTGCTGCAGTGACAGCTACGTCTGTGCACTTTGATTATATAATAGTCAAAATTTAGTAACTGGGAGTTACTAAACTCAGAGGATCAGCAGGTTTGAGGCTCTTTTGATGCAATGTCCAGAGTGTTTATGACTCATGTTACAGTATGTCCTTAACTTTTAATGAAGACCAACTCCTGCACATATCACAATATCACGCTGAAAGTGTACGTGGATATCAACCAAACAACTTTATACCGGTAAAATGTACAGTATATAATTTTCTGTGTGCATATAATATATATTTTACCCAGAGATAAGCATTCATTGGCTGCAGTGGGTTTCTGCATAGCAACACGGTGACCAAATCAGGATCTTCTGTACATACAAGCACATTAACCAGCAGAATTCAGCTAAGAAAGAAAACTTTCTTAGAACTCAGTAGTTCACTTCTTGATTAAATAAAACTTAAAGGCACTTCAACAAACGAAAGCTAAAGGAAGCTGCAGTTCACAGTAAGTTCGTTAGAGGCATTTTAATCAGTCTCCAGAGCATTTCATTTGGCTCATCTATGCAGGTGGAAAGTGAGTTCAGTTGCGGCTGAACATCATCACATCTATGCTGCTTGGGAATGGGAAGCCTGATCTTGTTCCAGGTGAACTAAATGTCTGAAAGTGAGGCTGTAATCCAACTCACCAACAGAAAGCCATATGCATATTTCCGAGTACATGCACAGGATTTTTTTATTTAGGAATTTTGCCAACTTCTGTTAACCAAACAGTTTGAAATCCAGCAGTAATATTTGCAGTAATTAGTCATCTGGGATCTCAGAGTCGGAGTCTACCTACAACCTCAGCAAGAAGTCTCTTTGCAGCCACTAAAGAGCCGCCGACTCCCAGTTTAATTTATAAGACGAGAGTTATGTGGACACTAAAGCGTTTCCTGTTAGAACAAAATCTGTATCGCAAACGTTGCTGTGAAAATCTCTTGTTGCAGCTCCACTGAGACTCTGAGGCAGACAAATGGCCTTCACACGCCTTGTCTCACCTTGATAAAGCGTCCACGGGGGCTCCACTTTCCTCTTTTGATTGAGCGGCAATCACACACTCGCTCACGGA